CAAAATTTATGTACACACGATTCTCTTATCAAATTACTGAAATTTATTTACTATAAAGAATTAATACGGTTATTTGTGTTTTAATCTATCCGTCGTGTTTTTACCGTGGTTCAACTGCTTCATAATCGAAAAATGAATCGTTGAAAAATGACGACTCGTCCTCGTCGGAAGTATTGGCCTCCAGATCGGCAATCACCGCTATCTATATCACTGTCATTGGTTTCTGCTGCCCAAATCAGACCAGGGTCTGGAGTTTGCCAACTGCTATTGACCTGGTCCATCAATTGGCGAAGCAAACGATGATGTGGTTGTGTACTTTCAACAGCAGAATTATCCTCAGAGTAGTCATCATCATTTTCCGGATGGTCCCAATCAAGGTTTTAAGTGTTACCGAATTCTTCAGACACCCCATCTAGGAAATCGCCACAATCCCACGACACTGGCTGTTGACCATCTGCAAAAAATGGCATCCATTTTTCCAAATCGTCATCATCAGTTGGGTCCGAATTTGCAGCTGCGGCGTTGTCATCGCTATCATCAATATCAATCGCAGTTTGACCCACGATGATTTTGTGACCGTACGGAAGAGTCTGCTGGCCATCATCGAAGATGTAGCGTTTGTCATCAAATGCTGATAGCAATCTTTTTGTCGAAGTCACAGTTTGCAAATTGTGTGACTCGGATGCGATTTGACTGTTTTCAGTTTTGAATAACGAGCCAGAGGTCAAGGTGTCTCGATATCGCTGATGAGTCAACATCTTCTAAGCAGCTTTTGATACACCTTTGTCCGACAGTTTTCTGCAGTCTAAATATATAATTAAATGATTGCTAAACCATTTAACGATGATTACTAATGTGTGGTGGAAAAAATTGGAACCTTTTTGTGGCACTTGAAGTAAGGTGCAAGAAAAAATGAAGGTCAAGTGTGAGCTTAAATTCAGCCATCATTAAAAAATTTTTCCATAAAATCAAAAATCGGGCATCACAAAAAAATTGTTTGTCGACAAATTTTTCTTTCAAAAAAAAATTTCGCCGACAAAAATTGAAAAAAAAAAATCCCGCCCAAAATAAATTTTTTTTTCCAAAAAAAGTCCCCGTCCAAAATTTTTTTTTCCAAAACAAAACAAATTTTCGCCGGCCAAAAAAAATTTTTTCCCGCCCAAAAAAAATTTGCAAAAAATATTCGGCGTCAAAAAAAATTTTTTTAAAAACAAAATAAATTTTTCACCGACCAAAAAAAATCTGCCAAAAAATTTTTTTTCAAAAAAGCTTAGATTTCGCCAAAAAAGTAAATAAAAAAGCTGACAAAAATGACTACCTCTGGACAAAATGGAATAAAGCTTAAGTTTGATGGGTTGTTATGTCCTCTAGAAACTCGCCCCTGAATTTTAAAACAACCATTTTGTTTTTTGGATCGTAGAGAGGGTGGTTCTTCGGGTAATTTGACAGGTCATGTTCATTCAAAATGTTTCTTTTTTTTTAGAAATTTCGCGGTATAAATCTTCACTGTTGATTTAGTACAGGAGACTGTCCGTATCAGAATAGAGAAGTTGAGATTCAAAATTTGTTTTCATGATATCTTAATGAAATTTATACATGTGAAACTTTGCTAATTCGAGAACACTAGCTACCACAATTGTCGGCGCATCCCAATAAAATTTTGTTGGATTCGATGTTAACGCTGCCAAATTTTCTCAAAAAGTTTTTTAGGATTTGAATTTATGTGTATTTTGAGTTTTCATTTGAGAGGAAAATTCTTAAAAATATATGTTGTTATTCGAAAAAATTTTTTAGTGTGTTTTCTCGAAAACCAGCATGCCTCGAATATGGCCGAAACATATCTCAAGCGCTGTAGGAACAAATATCGAGAGTGGTCGAAACAAAACGAAAATTTCCTAATAATATGAACATGTTGTCTTATACGCATGCGACGCCAACATTTTTGATTCATCGTACTTTGCACGTCCTCTGGTTTTTAATTTAAGGATACTCTGGCTATTAAATTGAGTGAACATTCTTTCAATAATAAGTTGAAAAGTGGAAACAAAAGTTGTTATAATTCTTTCAAATCGCAACTTGCCTCGAGCACGCTCGAAACATACTATCACAAGCATTGTCAAAACCAATCTCAAAAATGGTCAAAATTACCAAATTCTTTCTTACAAATCAACTTTTTTTAACAAAATTTTCGAATTATAAGATTGAAAAAAAACCAAAAATAGTTCTTCTCTATAGAACATTTAAGCTGCAAAAAACTCTAATAAATTTATTTGGTAAAAAAACGAGCACGATTGAAGCGAATCTTAAGCAGAGTAGTTACATACCGTTAGAACGGTCAAAGAAAGCCAAAACTTTTTTTATCAAACCTTTTAAAGTTTTTGTATTGTTATCATTTCAATAGTTCGATTATTTTAAGTTACAACCGACCCATCCTCTGATTTTTAAATTGTGATTATTTTAAAATTATGGGCTTTTGTTTTGAGTCAAAAACTTCAAAATCCTGTTTAGATATGAAAAAGTTTTGGATACATTTCTTTCAAATACCAACATACCCTGAACACGATTGAAACATATCTCGAGGACGGTCGAAAAGTGCCTCAAGAATGGTCGAAACTTACCGATTTTTTTTTTCAATTATCAACCTAATTTTATAATGCTTTTGAAAATTCCTACAGTCCTCCGTTTTTTAATTTATGAACGCTTCAAGTTTTAGTTTGAGTAAAAAATGTTTCAAAATCAAACTTTCATGTGAAAGAAATATTTCGATTTGTTTATTTCAAACATCAACAGTCGAAGCATATTTCGAGCACGAACAGAACATACCTCAAGTAACGCCGAAACATACCAAAAAATTCCTTCATTTATTAATATATATTTTTTAAAAGACTTTCGGCTCCATTAAAATCCAGGGTTTTCATAAGTTGGCAAAAAACAGTCGGAAGTAGTTCAACCTCTTAAAATACTTAAATTTCGAAAAAATCAACAGTTTCTTTTTTTTCAAATAAACATTGAGCGCAACCGAACGATACTTCAAGCACAAAAACAGTCTTTTTAGTATGTTTCCCAACACACAAATTTTTTTCAAATATCAAAATACTTTTATAATGCTTTTTTGACTCAATATTTTGATAGTCCTCTGATTTTTAGTTTATGGATGCTTCGGTTTTTGATTTGAGTACAAAACAATTGGAAGTTATATTAATATGTGAAAGAAACTTTCGATTTGTTTATTTCACACATGAACATACCTCGAGCACATTCAAAAAATACTTCGAGCACGAACAGAACATACCTCAAGGACTGTCAAATTATATCAAAAATTTCCTTGTAAACATGTTTTATAAAATTTTTGGCTCATTTGAAAACCAGGGTTTTCATAAATTGGAAAAAAATAGCCGAAAAAAAATTCATTCCCTAAATTTCAAAAAAAAACGATGGTTTCTGTTTCAAAAAACCATTTAGCACAATCGAACGAAAGTTATTTGGATATGTTTATTTCAAAGCCAAAATGCCTCGAGCACAGTCAAAACATAGCTTGAAAAAGTCAAATTTACCACAACCGAAAAACCAGAGCACAGTCGAAACATTCCTGGAGCACGGTCGATAGATACTGCGAGAACAGTCAAATACCACCGAAAATTCTGTCAAATATCAGAAAAAAATTTCATTGTTTTTGACCTAAATGTTTAGAAAAAGTATCTTTTCCTATGTGCTCTGTAGTTTAAATTGTGGATCCTTTTGTTTTTAATATGAGTCAAAAATGCTTTAAAAGACGGTAATATTCGAGGGAACTTTTTTAATGTTTTTTTTTCGACTATCATTATGCCTCGAGCACGGTGGGAACATACCTCGAACACAATCATAAAAAAACCTCGAGCAGAACATACCTCGAGGACGGTCGAATCGTACCAAATTTTTTATTAACATGTTTTGAGACGCTTTGACTCAAATTTTCTGTTCATTTTTTCTTGACCGTCCTCTGGTTTTCAATCTATGGATTACTATCAAAGATGTAGGAAGCGTTAAGAATTATACTAGACATGCATTAACTTTTCGATCCGGTTAAACTGGTAACTGCTCCTTGCCCGGATCGAGTTCGTGGTTTAACACAGCTTAACAAAGTTCAAGAAAGAGAAAATCTCCAAAATGTGCGCAAAACGTTTGAAATTTGTTTTTAAGAAGAGATTTTTATTTTTATTTACTGAAAACACATTTTTTTGGCTTTCAAGCTAAAACATTTTTTATACAAGTTTGTGGACAAAAAATACATATATACAATTTTGCTCGGCTGTGTAAAACATCTTTTTTTATAAAGAATTTTTTATCGTTTAATGATTAGCTTCATGGTAATTCTTGATTAATTTAAGAAAACCAAAATGGCTCATTTTTGGGGAAAAAAATTTTCCCCCAAAGTTCGTAAAATACATTGCGTCATACGAATTTTGGTTCAATTTTGTAGCAAAATTATTTCTCTTCATTTTTTTTCTAATCTTAACCAAATTTGATAAACGTTCTAATTTTTTTTCATTTCGTTCGGATAATTTAAATCACTGTATGACTGCTACTTTTAACGGCTGACAAGTTAAGTGGTCGCGGCGTCATCGCTTTCAAGTATTTTAAGTCCTCAATTGGTGATTGTTCCGACTTTTGAATGTTTGTTCTCGGGGCGATTTTTTCTTTTCTCAAATCAAAATTTGACTTTTAAGACAGCAATTTTTTTAATGGAATTTAAATATCATCTGAAAAGTATTGTTGTCAAAAGCTCAAATTCAAAAAGATATATTTTTTTCTGGTTACTTCATGAAAAATATACATTTTCTTACCCCTAAATGGATTTGGGGGAGGGATTGCACGGTTGATTCTATTAACCAAGCGATGCAAGATGTGTGCTAAAATTCTAAATAAACATTAAAAATCGGCATTTTAAAGATTAACGACAAAAAATTCAAGGTGGCAACCCTGCTCCAAGGTGAGTTCTCATGAAACTGTGACTGATGACATAAATTTCAAAGAACATAAATTACAAACTTAAATACTTCAGATTATTGACAGAACTCACAGTGCAAAAAATATATAATTAGGAAGCTCTGATGTTCTCAGCTGCTATGCAATTTTCGTTGAAGCAGCTTCTCTGTAGTTTTCGTTCAATTCAAACGAAAGAGATACAAAGCCAAAAATAGCGATTCCAATCAAAAGTAGCAAGGACATAGTCACTAACAGACCCCGAAAAACGAGTAAATTTCGGTGCGGAAACCTCTCTCCTATTTTCTTTATTTTGAAATGACCGGATCGGTAATCGATTGCCGCAACATCCGAAACTTTCGGATGCTCGTAATTGGTTTCGGATAAATTGTTATTCGTTTCAGCGTGAGCATCTTTTGAATTCTTCTTCTCTCCAGGAGATGACCGAGTGTGACTTGTCATGTTTTCAGCACATAAAGCGCGTGAAGAAAACGGTATAGAATTACAACACAAGAAATGTGTTACAGCCAAATGTAACCGAGCAGAGGAATCTCATGTAATAAAATTGTAGTAAAGTGCAATCTGACGTTATAGATGAATCAGCATAATTATGTTGGTGAGATAACGTCTCAAATGGCATAAGATCCAAATGGCATAAAAACGAAATTTTGTTTTTAAACCACAAACTAAAAGACGAAAATTGTTCGATTTTGCTCTAACCTGCGTTGACCAAAAATGCTTACCACACATTTTTATACATTTAAAAAGTTGTTTTTTTTTATCATGAAAAATCAGCCAGGACAACGTTATAGCCAAAAATAACAAGACTGCTCGTATCAGGGCAAAGCCCTGAATGTTCCGACTGCCCCTTAAGGTTTATGGAGCAGTAATAACATTAAAAAATTCAATAAAATAAAATAAAATGAAAAAAAATTTTTTCTAAAATTTAAAATTTTTTAAATGAAAATCATCCCCCCACACGCCATATAAAGTACAAAAGGATAGATTTCGCTCCTTGTAACAAACCAATTATGGCAAACAAGCTTCTTTTAACCAATTTGGAACGATTTCTAAGGCTGATTAACTCTCCGCTTACGCGTTAATAGCGCGAAATATATCGCGCGTTAATTGTCCCAAAGTGGCCAAAATGGCAATCTTTAAACCCCCGTAACTTTACGAAAAATGATCACAGGTGAAATATCTTTTCAAATTTGAGCTCAGGACAAGAATACCTTTCGAATGATATAAAAAATTCCGTCAAAAATGGCTAGTTAAAAAGTCGAAATTTGTCTGAAGAAAAAAAAACCCACCCCGAGCACAAATATTCCGTTACTTTCGTATCGAAAGTCGGAACAATAATTTTTAGCATCACATATTTGTTTAAAAATGCTTTTTTGACCATGAAAGTGATATTGCGTAAAAAATTGAGAAAAAATCCTTAGAATTTAGATTTCGCTCTTAGGAAACTTTTGCAGCCACGTACACTAGGCTCTTATCATACAATTTTCATACATGGAAATTGTATGAATAACATTTTTCCATACGCTCCGTCTATGAAATTGTACGATAAGCATTTTCGTGTATAGAATCAAACGGTAAGAAATTTTCGTGTATGGAGGTCAACCCATGTATTTTGTTGTTCCGACTTTCGATACGAAAGTAACGGAATATTTGTGCTCGGGTGGGTTTTTTTTTTTCTTCAGACAAATTTCGACTTTTTAACTAGCCATTTTTGACGGAATTTTTTTATATCATTCGAAAGGTATTGTTGTCCTGAGCTCAGATTTGAAAAGATATTTCACCTGTGATCATTTTTCGTAAAGTTATGGGGGTTTAAAGATTGCCATTTTGGCCAATTTGGGACAATTAACGCGCGATATATTTCGCGCTATTAACGCGTAAGCGGAGAGTTAATCCGTCTTAGAAATCGTTTCAAATTGGTTAAAAGAAGCTTATTCGCCATAATTGTTTTGTTACAAGCAGCAAAATTTATCCTTTTGTACTTTGTATGGCGTGTGGGGTGATGATTTTCATAAAAAATTTCAAATTTTAGAAAAAAAACAATTTCATTTTTATTTTTACATTTATTTTTTTAATGTTATTACTGCTCCATAAACCTTAAAAGGCAGTCGGAACATTCAGGGCTTTGCCCTGATACGAGCAGTTTTGTTGTTCCGACTTTCGATACGAAAGTAATTGTTCCGACTTTCGATACGAAAGTAACGGAATATTTGTGGTCGGGGTGGGTTTTTTTTTCTTCAGACAAATTTCGACTTTTTAACTAGCCTTTTTTGACGGAATTTTTAAATATCATTCGAAATGTACAATACCTTTCGATTGATATTACAAAATGTATTGTTGTCCTGAGCTCAAATTTGCAAAGATATTTCACCTGTGATCATTTTTCGTAAAGTTATGGGGGTTTAAAGATTGCCATTTTGGCCTTTTGGGACAATTTGGGACAATTAACGAGCGATATATTTCGCGCTATTAACGCGTAAGCGGAGAGTTAATCCGTCTTAAAATCGTTCCAAATTGGTTAAAGGAAGCTTATTTGCCATAATTGATTGGTTACAAGGAGCTAAATCTATCTTTTTGTACTTTACAAGGCGTGTGGGGGGATGATTTTCATAAAAAATTTCAAATTTAAAAAAAAAACAATTTTTTTTTAATTTTTTTAAATTTAATTTTTTAATGTTATTACTGCTCCATAAAACCTTAAAAGGCAGTCGGAACATTCAGGGCTTCGCCCTGATACGAGCAGTCTTGTTTATATTTTGAGATCAACCGTAAAATATCCCCCCTCGCAGTGACTTACTGTGAAATCTCCATCCTCTAGCCATGCATTAATTTTAAAAAAAAAAATCCGCATAAAATATTCGTTTGAATTTTGTGTTTAGTGAACAGAACGTTGTTCTGCGAGAGAAAATCTTTAAAATGTTTGTTGAAATACTGACACGAATCAAAATATCATATTTGGACAAAAAAGATGATTATGTCAAACGTGAGATAACTTTTGAAAGAATTGAAATAAGTTTTTCCGGCTGGCTACCTTGATTTTAAAACCGCTTTTGGAATCTAACTGAAAAAAGTGATACAAATTGATTTGAGAGGGTTTTCCAAAAAAATACGCGGGGCTTTTTTGTAGTTTTTGAGGTTTTATAAATTGCCTGTCTTTTAAAATGTCCATCTTTTAAAATGCCTGCAAAAACAACTTCTAACTTGAATCATACAGAATTCTGGCGGGTTATGTATAAATTGACAATCACTTTCAAATCTGACTTGACCGTACAAACGGATATATTCACATTCGGCTAGTGTAATTTTTTTCGAAAAAAAATTTAATTGAAATTTGTTTCATCGCCAGGGCATTGATTGATTTTGAAGATATAAATCGAGTCCGCCAAAAAACTATAATTGAAACTACCGTAACAGTCCGAACGGGGAAAAACTGCGCGGAAATCACTAATAATTCGCCACTTTCATCGGAAGTTGGAAAAAAGTTTTCAGTTTCACTGGTACGAAACCCAGATTGAATCACGGCAGGGTTGATATCAAATGAAAACTGAAAATTTTGTTTGAGATCTGAACAATAAACAATTATAAGACTGCTCGTATCAGGGCGAAGCCCTGAATGTTCCGACTGCCTTTTAAGGATTATGGAGCAGCAGTAATAACAAAAAAAGTTAAATGAAATAAAATAAAATGAAATTTTTTTTTTCTAAAATTTGAAATTTTTTTATGAAAATCATCCCCCACACGCCAAATAAAGTACAAAAAGACAGATTTCGTTCCTTGTAACAAATCAATTATGGCAGATAAGCTTCGTTCAACTAATTTGGAACGATTTATAAGACGGTTTAAATCTCCGCTTACGCGTTAATGGCGCGAATTATATCGCGCGTTAATTGTCCCAAATTGGTCAAAATGGCCAAAATGACAATTTTAAACCCTCATAACTTTACGAAAAATGATCACAGGTGAAATATCTTTTCAAATTAAGCTCAAGACAACAATACCTTTTGAATGATTTTAAAAAATTCCGTCAAAAATGGCTAGTTAAAAAGTCGAAATTTGTCTGAAGAAAAAAAAAAACCCACCCCGAGCACAAATATTCCGTTACTTTCGTATCGAAAGTCGGAACAATAATGCGTTTGAGAATTTAGTTTTAGGCACCTTGTGACGTGGGAATAACTCGAAAAGAGAATCTTTCAAATTTCTGGAAAGTTTGAATTAGAATCGTGATAAGAACGTATACATATAGGCATTATATTAAACAAAATATAATAGCTCAAAATGCAAGAGCGATTTTCGTTATACAAATGATACGGTTGTAAATTTGAACTACTCAAAGTTTATTTAGACTACATATATGTCTGTTTACTTTCTATCGAGATGTCAAAATGTATCAAAAGGCACATTCTGAGCAAATATCACTTGGAGCACAATGCGCTTAAAGCAGTAAGCACGACTTTGAACTGCAGCTATGAAGCTTCGGATATAACTCTAATTAAAATTGGCCAACTACAGTGCTGATTTAAATTATCCGGACAAAACGAACAAAACTTGAGTTTTCAAACGCGTTTTTCTCAATTTGCGTTAGAATTAGACAAAAAATGAAGAGAAAAAAATTTGCTTAGAATTTCATCAGAATTAATATGGGGCAGTTTTTTCTCCGCAATTCTCAGCCAAAATGTCACCCCAAAGATGGGTCTTTTTGACTTTTTTTCATTTAATCAAGAATTACGCTTAAACTACTTTGTTAATTGATAAGGAATGTAAATCACAAGAAGCCTCTTACACAGCCCAACAAAGTTCTAGAAGGGTTAAATCTCCAAAAAACTGTATAAGAGAAAATATTTTTGCTTGATAGTGAAGAAACGTGATTTTTACTATATAAAACCCAAAATCTTTGATTAAAAACAAATTTTAAACAATTTACTCATATTTTTGGAGATCTAAAGTTTGTTGGGCTCTGTAAGAGGCTTCTTGTGATATACATTCCTTATCAATTAACAAAGTAGTTTCGGCGTAATTCTTGATTACATGAAAAAAAGCCAAAAAGACCCATTTTTGGGGTGAAATTTTGGCTGAGAATTTCGGAGAAAAAACTGCCGCATATTAATTCTGGTGAAATTCTAAGCAACTTTTGTTCTCTTCGTTTTTTTGTCTAATTTAAACGCTAATCGAAACAAGACTGCTCGTATCAGGGAGAAGCCCTGAATGTTCCGACTGCCTTTTTAGGTTTTATGGAGCAGTAATAACATTGAAAAATTAAATGTAATAAAATTTAAAAAAAATTTCTTTTTTAAATTTGAAATTTTTTATGAAAATCATCCCCCCACACGCCATTAAAAGTGCAAAAAGATAAATTTAGCTCCTTGTAACCAATCAATTATGGCAAAAAAACTTCTTTTAACCAATTTGGAACAATTTTAAGACGGATTAACTCTCCGCTTGCGCGTTAATAGCGCGAAATATATCGCGCGTTAATTGTCCCAAATTGGCCAAAATGGCAATCTTTAAACCCCTATAACTTTACGAAAAATGATCACAGAAAAAATATCTTTTCAAATTTGAGCTCAGGACAACAAATCTTTCGAATGATATAAAAAAATTCCGTCAAAAAAGGCTAGTTAAAAAGTCGAAATTTGTCTGAAGAAAAAAAAACCCACCCCGAGCACAAATATTCCGTTACTTTCGTATCGAAAGTCGGAACAAATACGCGTTTGAAAACTCAAGTTTTGTTCGTTTTGTCCGGATAATTCAAATCAGTACTGTATTCTATAAGGCCTGAATTAAGCAATGTAAGTGCATGAAGCAAAGGGTAAATAATTGTGCTCGGGATGGGTTTTTTTTTCTTCAGACAAATTTCGACTTTTTAACTAACCTTTTTCGACAAAATTTTTTATATCATTCGAAAAGTATTGTTGTCATGAGCTCAAATTGAAAAGATATTTGACCTGTGATCATTTTTTGTAAAGTTATGGGGGTTTAAAGGTTGCCATTTTGGCCAATTTGGGACAACTACGCGCGATATATTTCGCGCTATAAATGCGTAAGCGAAGAGTGAATCCGTCTTAGAAATCGTTCCAATTTGGTTAAAAGAACCCTGTTTGCCATAATTGATTTGTTACAAGGAGCGGAATCTATCCTTTTGTACTTTATATAGCGTGTGGGGGGATGTTTTTCAGAAATAAAATTCAAAATTTTAGCAAAAAATTTCATTTTGTTTTATTACGTTTAATTTTTTAATGTTATTACTGCTCCATAAACCTTAAAAGGCAGTCGGAACATTCAAGGCTTCGCCCTGATACGAGCAGTCTTGTTTAAATATGTCATCAGACGTGTCATCTTCTCAATTACCTTATATTTTCCTTTTATTTTCCTTTTGTCTTTTGCTTCTGCTATTGATTAATTTTTTAAAAGGCTATATAGCCTTGTAAAAAATTTATCAATAGCAGAAGCAAAAGACAAATAACAATATTGGCAAGAAAAAATTCGCATAATGCTTCAATTTCTCAGAAATAAGTAAAATTAAAATCGATCTGAAAAATTAGGCTACGTTTTTGTTTCTCATTTTTCAAACAATACCCTACTAGATGAGAAACACGGGTGCAATTGTGCCGCCATCTCGAGGTGAACCCGACACCTGAAGAAATAGGCCTTAAACAGCACTGAATACAGAAACTCTCTTACGTCGTTGGACGCGCAGACAGCATACTCTAACGGGGTTTTTGGTGCGGAGTGCCCAACGTTGGCTGGGCTGCTTCGTCGACTTATACTAATCCTCCTCTTACGTGGTGGCATAAGCGCAAACCCTAACCACTGTATCTGCTCTTCTTGTAGAAAAAAGTTCACTTGTACTCAAGTAAGGTATGGCGTCACATATGCGGATGGATCCACCTAGAAAGCAGTGGACTCGCAAATCTCACGCGCCACAAAATTTTGCTGCCCTACATGTGACGCAAACTGGAATTCAAAATCAGCGGAAAAAAAAACAAAAGTGCCTCTCTAGTGTCAAAAATTACCGACATTGACTTCACCCTTTACAACGATTACACCCAAACTCGTTTACTGTTCGGCATTTCATCTTTTGCTTTCGCAGACCTTTCTAAAGCATCATCGTCTTTTTTTTTCAGGTTGCAAACTACTTTGAGTTTTATGTTTAGACGATAATTTATAGAGATTAATTTAATAAGTCAGAAGATATTTCTTTGATTGCCCAAAAAAACATTGAAAAGTTCAATGATCAAAATGAGCAAACTATGAGGAAATGACTGAGAAAAACGTTAAAAAAACACTTCGATAGACCCAAAGTTGCAAAAATGACAATAGGAAACATCATTCTGCAGGTGGTCCCAGGCCATATTCTAGCCGTTTTCATGACCCTTCCTTAAAAAAGGGAAAACAAAAAATGGCATAGGACCGCGATTAAATCAAAATTGAAAAAACCATCAAAAGTTGTTTTTAAAAAATCAGCTTCATGATTAAAAAGCGAAGCAAAAAGCAAAAAAAGATAAGAACTTAGTGAGCACAAGTCGTCATGTAGAATCTTGAAATTGATTCGCTCCTAGAAGGAAACTAAATCCGTAGCAGAGTCTTATCCAATATCTTTCAGTGCAAAAATTTATCAGAGGCTAAAATAATAGCAAACGCTTTTAAGAAACTCACAACACGTAAATTCAGCAAGGAACACGGAAAAAACTTCAGCGAAAATTTCTAGAAGTAAAGCTTGGCGCTCTATTTATATTTTTTCAGTTCGAAACTGAAGCCGCATTCAAGGCAGTTGAATCATCGAATACATTGGCCTGGACGGCCTTTGCACTCTACCCTTTAATAATCTGAGACCAATAGTCATCAATTTTTTAATACATACTTTAAACTTCTCTTCAACTTCCACCCCATATATGGAAGAACTCAAAAGTTGTCACTCTGCCAAAAGCATTTTGTCGCCTAACAGTGGAAACCATTTTTTGTCCCCATTTTTTGTTTAGGCATAACTTTAAACCCACCTCACCATTACAAAAAATTTTCCTTAAGCTGATAATTAGAACAGTTTTTGTCCCCAACAACGGCTTTTTGAATTCTTGAATTTTTTAGCAGCAGTTTCAAAAAGGAACGACCACATGAAAAAACTGTGCTGTTACATTTCTCCAGAGCCTTCGACATAGTCTGCCACTGTGAATAACTGCACCCTATTCATTGCATATATGTATTACACAATTTAACTAATAGGCTTGCAAGTTATCCGAGTAGCAGACCAACCAAAACAAAGCCTAGGAACCCATTATTATCAACCTGAACAGAACGTAGAGGCATCCCCCAAGTGTCAGCCTTATCGTCTATATTTTTATAGAGCACGTTACACCCGACTATTCTTCACTGCATATGTGTATACAGTGGACATTTTTTGCATATATAAACTGTGTGGTACACATTTTAACCAAATTGTTCGCCAGTTATCTGAGTAGAATTTGAGCCAAAACGAATTTCAGGGGCCAATTATTTTCATCCGGGATAAAACGTACAGGCATCCCCCTAGTATCTGCCCTATCGCCCACAATTTTTAATCTGTACGTTAAAATCGACTCTCCTCCACTCTTATGCCATTAAGTTTCACCATTTTGTTTGATCGAACGACATAAAACATGCCTCGCTAACTCTAAGTAATTATATAAGCAAACTACATGGCCATTTTCACAAGAAAATCCCTCAATTTTTTCTACTAGGAACTCTGTAAGTTTCTTCGCGCTTGTTTTTAAAGAAATTAACTCCAAACCTAAGTTTCCAACGTGTGAAATACTACCGCTAGTCATAAAGCATCATAAGCTTTGCAATATTTTTTCAATATTTCACTCAATTTTAATGAACGCTGCTAAAGCGCAGAGAGAAAAACGATGCTTGAATCAATTTAAGTCAATTTGAAGTAAATTTTCAGCCTTTTTGTTCCAAGCATAGGTAGTTGGCGGGCTTGTTTTGGGTGTGTTTTAGTAAAAAATTATATAAAAAAATGTGATTCAAATCTTTCAGTAATGATTCAAACCATATCAAAAAATTTTTTAAAAAAATTTCTAGCTGTCTAAAAAAAGCAATTTCAAAAATTTGATTTTATGTCTAATTTTGAGCGAAATTAGCGAGCGAGCAAGCTAACGTGGCGGCAATTTTTTGTCCGCCGAATTTTTTTTTCAGTTAAATTAGTTTTTTTACTTTTTCTTTTTAGTTTTTGAACTAGTTATTTTTCGAAAACAGTTGTTGTCCTATATACTTCGCTTTCAATAACTCTTGATTACGCCCAAGATATAGGTTTTTGATAAATTTTTTCATCACAAGACGAACAAGAACTAACATTTAACAAAAAAAAAGAAAAAAGCTGATTAGTCTCGTTGCAACTTTCTGTGATACTTACGAAATAACCATGAAAGTACCAGAAAAGTTTAAAGAAGATGAAACCTTCGTAAGAAAAGCAACAAATTTACTGCAACGTTACAGAGAACCAACGTTACAACGAGAATTTTTCAATTTTTTCGTTTTTTGCTGTATCTCGACTTCTCGGGACACTTTTTTGATGCTCTGCATGTGTTTCAATCTTAAAGTTTTGTCACAATTGTTATATAATTATTAGTTTTTCTTAAATGTCTTGGTAAATTTTCAGCTTGCGCTTTTGTGTGCTTTTTTCATGTTTGTAGATGATGTTTTGTTTGTTCTCAAGTTTTCAGTGTGTGTTATTATGTTTTCAGGTTTCTCTTACCTGCTCACTGGTAGCTAATACGGGAGGCAAAGTTTTTCCTCTTCGGAGACAAAAAATCTGTACCTTCCTGTTGGCTACCTCCGACCATTTTTTTTTAGCTTTGAGCCAAGTTTTAAGGCATTAGCCGATTTGAAATTTCGCCTAAAACACTTGGAATTCCAGCCCTGGTTCCTAGTAAACTTTTTGAAAAGTAGCTCTGAATCTTAGACCGATCCAGGAAAGCCAGGGTAATCCTTGCAAGACTTTAATCTGGTTTTTCCCTGGCCAGGTCCGGCTCCAGAGATGACTCCAGGGATGCATTTCAATGGACAGGTAACCCGGGCATCATTGCAAATATAAGAGCAATTACAAGAGACATAATCAATACGCGAGCACGATGTGGAAATTTTTGGATCGATTTCAGGTTGTTCTTATACTGGTTCTCATTACAGATTAGATATTTGTTGTTAAAGGGATCTGATGTTAAAATTGATTGTTGGAATACATTTGAAAGACATCTTCATGTCAGCATACTTTTTGCAATGGATAATTTACTGAAGTTTAAGCTTTATTCCTTGATAATTTTCAATAAAAAAGCCAGCCAAAAAGTTATGATAGTATAATTTTATCAAATCGGATTCGATTGTATGAAATCTCAGTGCCATTTTACGGATCAATCGAGGTTTTTTCTCACCCGAGTATTAATCTAATCAGCTTTATGGCTTTACGGTTTTATTTTTCCACCAGTAGACTTATTTGTTGTTCTGACCAGTAGAAAAATGGATTTTTGTTGGATTTTTTTTTGCTCGCGAAAGTGTAATACAGATAGAAATTGCAAAATAATCCAGTCTATACGTATTTTCAATGTGCAGTTATATAATGAGCAACATACCTTTTGAAAGTAGCAACATATCTTTTTGACTCAGACAAAGTCGCGCGAACATTTCGGTCGTGCAAAGTCGCATTACACCCACTTTGAGTCGCAATGGTTGCAGCATACTTTTTTGGGTCGAGCAAAGTCGCAACTTATCTTTTTTTGGGCCGCGTTAGCTCGCATAAAACTTCTTCGGCCGCGCAAGTTCACATCATACCCATTTGAGTCGCAACTGTCGCAACAAAAAGTCCCCAACCTCGGCACAAGTGCTTAAAAAACATATCAATTTTTAGCACATTTTTCTTAACACTGAGTGTATAATCTACGCATCAAATTCTGTACATATAAAAGAAATCGACGCCAGCTATTTCGACTCGAACAAGCTGAATAAAGAGTTGATAATTATATATCTATTCTTGATTTGAAAAACATGATTGTTATGGCATTTTATATGAACTTTTGTTTATCAATCAATAAGGTGATCGTGGTCTCAGCTGTCTCTTTGCTGCAATATCACTCGCAGTTGATGTTTTCCAATTTAAGTAAAGACCAAATAAACTAACTTTGGCTCTATATTAACTCCGATTTTGTTTGAAAATTTCAAGGTCATATTCGGCGTGATGTACGGCATAATTGTTTTTGTTTTCACGCTAAAAGGTAAACTTTCAAATTATTTATTAAAAAATTTCTTCTTCAGTTTTAGTATGGTTTTAGTATTATAATTATTCATTCATAAAAAAAAGAAAAGATAATTTTAAGAAATGAACACTTTGACCCCACCCCCCCCCCCCCCCTCCCACGCGAGACCTATTCCGTTTTTTTTGTATCACCCAAGTGTATTCAAGGGCCTATTTGATTTTTTTTACCCACAAAAAATTACAACTGAAACGTTTTTAAACGTTATTTATGTTACGTTAATGATTTTTATCGAATTTATCGAAAAACAAGACACATAACAAAACTTGAAACTCTGTTCGAAAAATTATTTTGAAAATATAATGTATTTTCTTCAATTTTTTTCAGAATAGAAACGGTTTATTTCTAAACAAAGAAAAAAAACAGAGCATTTCTATACAGAAAGTATAAGAAAACCTGGGTAGATAATCTATTTAACATTTCAATCTAGAAAAACTGCCTATGCTGGGTACGGGTAGAGTAATTCAATTTTCGGCTCGCTAATTAGCGACAATTACCCATTGGCAGAATGGGGATTGTATAATTTGTACAACTATATTCGAAAAACAGTTTATAATCCAGTTGTGAGCTCGACAATTGTTGGCGATCATTACTATCAAAGTGAAGGGGAAGATGACATCGAACTCCAAGAGAGGTGGAGTCTCTTTGAAGACTGGATGTCCCTTCAGTTTGTCATACCACAGCCCTCCAGCTCTTTCGGACGCCGTTGTTCTGTATACAGGTAATCTTCTTCGGTACGCAAAAAAAAAATTAAGGTAAGTTCACCTCACGAAATACCTTAAAGTTTGTTATTGGCAGCACTGAACACAAATTGCAAAAAATTACTGCGATTTAGATAATTAAAACGTTCGTTTTTTGGATATTCAAATGCATCAAACGAAAGATATTCAAAAGCGCTTGGACGAAAACATTTGGACGAAAAGCGAAATAAAAACTTGTTGCAATGCCTACTCAAATTGAAGTCGTAAATCCACGGCAATTCAACAGGTCCCTAATTTTTTCATATAATGACTGATTTTCAAACAAGGGCAGCCGCTTGCAGAGCAGTTAGCACATATTGTTCTCACCAAATTAATTTCAGAAATGAAATTCAAAAATAAAGGAACTTGTTCGTTGATGTCTAATTCTCTTGTCAGTTAAGCTTTTTGGAAAGTTTTCTAAAAGTTTTTCCCGACACAAGGAAAATTTCTGAAGAAATATTTTCACGTCGTCATAATGAAATGAGTTTTGCACGTGAACAAACTAACTAAATAATATGAAAAAATTGATTTTCAAACCCTGCCGTAACATCACGCATTCAGCCTTAGCAACACGGAAGACAACTTAAAAAAAGGAAAAATTGAACTCAGAGGCAAAGCTGTGGTTCGCAAAAACTTGCGAGAACACGACCAAAAAGCAGCTCTATCAAGTGAAATCAGAAAAAGTAGAATTAAGCCTCGAATTAGCGAAAATTCGGCTACGTGCTGGATTCGAATCGCGACCTGGCAAATTTGTATCCGACGCACTAACCACTCAGCCACGACTTCTTTAATTGACCAAAAACTTGCCAACAAAAACGCGGTTACATATGCTAATAAATTGCCGATTCGATACAGCAAAAGTAGCATCAAATACGAAAAAAAAACACAATTTTGCACATAAAAAATTGGAAAAAATAAAACCAAGTTATCTGTAATTATGCATTTCAAAAAAAATTGCCAGATTCTTTGCGTTCGAAATATTCTGAAATCAAGCTTTTTATCATTGTGCTGCTGTTTGAAACAAATAAGTTTTTGGGGTTCATTTGATGAATTAAAAATGCATCAGCTGTTTTAACTTTTTACTAATCAACTGTCACCCGCACCGAAGTTTTTCGGATAAAAATAGATTATATTGAAAAATTCGCCCAAAATTTTGCCATTATATTCGATTATGTGTAACCAATTTAAGCAACATTTTCTATTATAATGAAGATTTTCATGAGGATTATTTTGCATTATATTTCCACTAAAATCTTTTTATTTCTCTAATTTCAACAAAATCAAGTTTTCCGCCCTTAAATCGCCATGAAAGTGCAATAAAAACTATTGCTATCGTCATAAAATTGCAATAAAATCTAGGACCCAAAAAATTGATTATGTTGTCAAAAAACGGATTATATTGTGTGAAAAATTGATTTTTCTCTTCTTAAAAGCATGCATTTTGAAAACTCAAAACAAAAATTGAATTCAAACCGTTGATTTCTTTCACTATATAATCGATTATTTTACTCTGCGAGCACAAAATCACCAGATAATTGATTTTTAAAAGAATAATTTTTTGTTTGACCATAAAATGACCCAGATAAAAGATAATAATTGACAAAACTTCGGTGCGGGCAAAGCACATGCTATCAAAACGCTGTAAAGGAGCCCCAAAAATGGCACCAGCATTTACGACTTAAGTTCGAAAAAAAAAGAAAATGTTTGTACTAATACACTTTGCTTAGCAAGTGTAAATAGGGGGAAAGTGGAAAATAGAAAAAATAATAATCCATAGCTCAAGGTAATATGTAATAAATCATTGCAAAAGGGTCGCTGCTGTTCTTTAGCAAATACGCCTGTCTGAACAAGTTTGAGTTTCTGGAGGAGCAAACATCTAGAGTTAACAGAGCGCTAGATATGAGAGTTTTCGGATCGCTTGTTAGACCAGTCTACAGAAAGTACAACTTCTTCTCACTCGCACGGTCATATGTCGACGCAGGTATAGTTTTTGAGCTAATTTAGTTTTTTTAAATAAAGTCCTATAAATTACCCTTCCATTGCACCTGTTTTGCTCTTTTATTGAATGAAGTGCATTTGAATTTAGACAAAAACTAGCCGCGTGATATTTGACCAAAAAAAATCGCTGCACTAATTGTTCAAGCAACAAAATATCATTGATGTTGCTTAAAACCCTTGGCCTTTCAACGTTTTACTGAATGTCTTACAGTAAGGCATGATTAGGTTTCTAACACCCGAATCCGAGCGGGTTGTCAAACCGATCAACCAACTTTCTGTAGATTCAAGAAAGAAATAAGAGTTTAGCAACGAATATTTTAGTGCTCTGCGCAGTTTGCTTTATGTGTCGTTGCGGTATCAAATCATTCAAGGTCGTTTGACCATCACAATGTGAGCATAAATATATAGGTATAAACAAGTTACAAATTTTATGGTCTAGTCAATCAGGTGGGATGACTTTTATTTCGATTGAGCTTTTGCATCGCTCTTCTGCACTGGGTGTTAATGTATCGCAGAGCAGGCAGGTCTTTAGGTTTTAGTCTTTCAGCTGATTTTTAATGAAACATTTCATCGGGACATTCGGGTTTATCGCTCTTTTTATAAAAATTGGAAAATAATCAGCCAGTTTTCTACTTAGTTTTAATATAATAAAGCTATTATAAAACCTTTGGAATTTTTGAGTTTTTGGAAAAATTTGTTATGGCAACTTATAACTATTTGGAACCTGATCTAAACTATATTTTATGATTGGATAAATTGGATATTTTACCACTGTAAAGTGTTTAATATTAACCAATCATAATCCATCTAACTAACAACCCACTTATTTGTAAGTGCTGAAATTACTTGTAATTTCAGCACCAGAGAGATTTGAATTTAACTTAGAAATTAGTTGTCTCTCCAAGAGAACTTCAGCAGCCGCAACAAACCAGTATACCCTAGATCTATTGAGCCTAGCAGAGACTAGTTAAACACCCTGAGACTAGAAAGTATAAGAGTAAGATTAGGATCGATATTAGACTAAGAAGTTGCACGAATCTATCCGGCCGAAAATAAGATAGCGTGACGGTGTACCCTATCCGAAATTACTCTATGAGTTAACCACATCGCTCCTAACTCATCTGGTGCGACCATAATTCTCGAATAAGACCTTAATAGCTTAGAACTAAACAAAATCAGATTATAATTTAGACAAATCATTTTCAAAATGTTGTACGATAATAAATTTATCGAAATGTCTCTACGACTCAATAGATCAGAGCCAATATTCCGAACAATAATAGAACTACCCGGAATTGGAAGAAGACCTCGAACAAGAGACGACATACGACAAAGTAGAAACTTACCATATAGTTTTATGATTGTACGGCAAAAGCCAACACCCACTTTTATGTTTAGAATCTTATTAGCAATGAATTTAGATTTTCACCTGCAAACATAAAATTTTGAAGTCAATCTTCATGATCATTTCAGGCGCTAAACAAAATTATTAATGTACAATAACGACTGATAAAAAGATCTCAGATCGTTTTCTTAATTTCTGCAGTCTTATATAAAACATATTTGAAAAATATTTATTGAAAAAGAAAATAAAAATTAGTAGCATGACAATAAATTGTTAGTAATCATAAATCATCTGTTGTCCCAGCTTCATCACCTAAACATAACAGCAATCATACGCTCACTAATATCATTAAAATACTAAATTTTTTTCTTAAATAAATTTAAACCATTTTAAACTTATTTCACTTAATTTTAAAATCAGATCATCAAGGCTTATCCTTGGATCTCAATTAATTTTCTATTTCACTAAATTTAAAACCTGATCATCAAGGCCTATCTTTGGATCAAAAAGAACAATTTTGTTCTCCCCCACCCACTTAGCAAGTGTCTAACGACCTCAAAGATCGATTCACTATCCAACCCTTCCAAAAGACCCAAGATTAATAGAAATTTTTTAATTAAACTATCCATTCAAATTAAGATAAACAGTGAAGAACTTCGGTTATTCATCCTTCACTTGAACCCTCTTCTTACCAGACCCAGGATAGATCTTAGACTTAGTAAGTTTAAAATAGTATCTAACGAACTACTTGCGTTCTAATTATACCTGAACCTTGTGGATCAATTTAATATTCTCCAACCCTTGAACACAATCACTACCCCTAAGTAAGATTAAGTAAGTTAACACCTTAGCTTAGACTAGCCACGAGAATGGAAAAAATCATTCTTCGGAATCGATATACTTTTCTCTCCAACCCTAAATAAAAAGACCCAGGTTAAGCTAACCAAAAAATCGTAAGGACTAACAGTCTAAGAAAATAGAAATAACTAACAACTTTTTGCATCCCTCATCCTAAACCTTATGTCATTCAAAAATTTACGAAATAAGCAAACAATCGTTTTACACAACTGTGAGATAGATAATAAAAAATACGATCTTGTAAGCACACCTCATACACAAACAGTTGGATACTTTAGAACAAAACGACAAACAATAAAAAAAAAATTATAAACAAACAAAGACAAATCACACGAAAAAGATTTTCAAAAAATAGAAACGCATTTTCCGAATCAGAAACCAGCAGTTAAGATGAACTCTACAAATTAAAAGAATCAATTGATAAAAATTGTCCCATTCACGATCAATTATATTTTTCCGATTCAGAAACAACTTCAAATTCATCAAAAAGAGGAAAAAGAAGAATAAAAAAGCAATACAAACACAAACCAGTACACCTGTATAATTGGAATCAACCAATTAGACACATCGATAGCTATATATTAACAGTCATCAAACGAAAAAATGAGCCACACTCAAAGTGACGATAGTCCAGATGACGAAGAGGTTTACCCCTTCCTCATAGATGCACCCGATAAGAGAGGGCAACATGATTTTTGCAAAAATTTACTCGTAAATTTGTTTGAACCCGGATTCAGTTCATGCAAAGCAGAATTCCCAGATATAAAAATCAAAAGACAAATTATTGAACATTATTTGAAAGACATATGTAACTTAACACAACAATATGGAATCTACACCATAGAATTCAGCACACCAAATACGAATCATCGTAAATATGTAATTCAAACAGACGATCTTGAATTAGAATTTTCAAAAGTATTCCTAGAATATATCAAAAGCATACAATATCATAATTCACAAAGAGCAAACTCTATATTCACTAATGAAGTTTTTGCAATAATATATACCAATATCTCTATATTAGAAAAAACAGAATTTCAAAGTATCTCACCAACTGAAACATCCAAACATACAAAAGTACGAAATGAAATCACATTATTTTCAAATTTTCTACATATAATCAAAGAAAATTTCACTAAAGACGATGTTTCACAACACACAAAACATGACTTACAAAAAATTTTGGCATGGTTTATAAAAGATTATTTCACACATAATTTAGACTTAATTTCACAAGCAAGAAAAAATTTCAGACCTCAAAATTCAAATGATGACACTGCCATCACAGAACAATCAGACTACGTTTGGGACCCTGAATGGTCTCATCCTACATTTATAAATATCCCACAATCTATCTCAAGTCAAGCAATAAGTACAATATCTTATCACAGAGATTATGTAACAGTATTACCACTAACCATTGATGCAACACCATTAAACTACAATATATTTTTACCTGATACACGAAATAACAGTTTAAATTCGACCGTCATACACAATGAAAACCTTAATGGAACTAGAAGTCTTACACAACAAGATATCCAAACACCATCAAACTTCATAAATGATGAAATTGTCCAAACAACAACTACACAGCAAAGTATTTCACCAATACAAACAAATTTAACATTACCAAGAAATACAAATACTTCACTGGCACAAGTAACCTTACAATCAACCGTTAAACCTTCGGTTGCTCCAAAATATTCACATATGGATTATCAAACATATAGACAATGACAGTACCGTCAAAAACACGAAAATCATTCACAAGAAACACCTTTGCAGAACATAATTATAATTATGCTCACAAACAAAGAACAAATCAACCTCCCCGAAAAAATTCACAAAATTTAAATCACGTATGTTCTCATTATTGGAATCTCCCGAAAACATCGACAAATTCAGTAAATTTTCCAGATAATCCAGGACCTACACAGGATTATACTGAAAATTACCCATTCTTCCAACAAAATAAAAATAACCAACATACACCATTTAATACAAACTATTTATCAACCGATGAAGATGATTATCACCAACCAGATATTTTTGCACCATATACTAAAAAATATCGCTCATCAAGACCACGACAACCTCAACCATCTCGAAATATGAAAATTTACCCACAAAACCCAACAGATGTACAACATCCACAACAAATGCATATACAAAATCCATTTAACATACAATCTTTTCAACCAATACAACCACAAAATCCAATGTCAATGCATTCTTATCAACCAACTCAAATGCAAAATGAAATACTGCTTCCATATTACCTTCAGCAACACGAAATAACAAAAAATCAACTTTCAAATTTTTCGCAAATGCCAAATGCCAAAGAATCACTATAGATGACAATGAATCCATACCTCATGGGTGGATCATCAATAACATCCAATAAACCACTGATGCTATTTACAGGAACAGATCCTGAATATTCTGTAGAAGATTATTTAAATGCAGTAACAGCTAATTTAATTTTAAATATAGGACCTGAACCAATTAGTACGCCACTATATCAAAATTGGATACATAGACGCACAGCATTGATACAAACAACCTTAGATGGCGCAGCTCAAAAATGGTTTTCAGTATTACCTATAGAAATAAAATCAGACTGGAAGAAATTTACACAAGAATTTTCAAAAATGTTTGACTCCGAAAGCAATAAACAACACCAAAGAGTCTTATGTAATGAAATTCGCAGATTACCAAATGAAACCATCAAACAATTAGCAGTACGCATC